ATGAATAGTTGTGACCACTTTTCTGAAAAAGAGAGGGGCATTTGTGAAGATTTTCTTTTAAAAAATGAGAATACTTTTCTGATAAAAAGGATTGACATTTGCGGGTGTTTTTCTGAAAAAGATAGACACGTGAGAATTTTCCTGAAAAGATGATGATCTTTTGTCAATTAGATGAACATTTGTAAACACCAGATAAACATTCATGAATATATCTAGATATCCTGAACTTTTTCTCATAGATATCAGAATATTTATAGTTCATTCTTCTTATTTCTCACATTTCTTTCCAATACACTAAATTCTGAAAAAAAGGTCGAAACATTTTGTGAAATGGGAGCTTTTCTTTTCTCTTTGAGTGTTCTCTTCTCCTTTTTTTTTTTCTTTTCTCCCTTCTCCCGGACTCATTTGTCTGTCTCATCCCTCAACCGTTGTCTCTCGCTTGTCACTCATCATTACGGCGTGAGGAAGAATGAGGAGAGGAAGGAAGACACTCGGCTTCGTGAGGAATTGCGAACGTTTACGTGCGAAAAAAAAAAAAAATGGGGGACATGTGAGTGTAAAATAAAAAAATAAAAAGAAAAAATGGGGGGGACATGCGAGGTTTTTAAGATGTATAATTTGGTTTCGTTTCGTTTTTTTTTTTTTTTTTTTTGTGTTTTTTCTGATTTGTTTTGCGATTCTTTTGAGTTTTAGTGTTTAGTAGGTTTTAGTTTTTAGTTTTAGTTTTTAGTTTTAGTTTTAGTTTTGGTTTTTAGTTTTAGTTTAGTTTTAGTTTAGTTTTTAGTTTTTTTTAGTTTTAGTTTTATTTTTTGTATTTGTTTTAGTTTTTAGTTTTAGTTTTAGTTTTAGTTTTAGTTTTTAGTTTTTAGTTGTTTAGTTTTTAGTTTTTAGTTTAGTTTAGTTTTAGTTTTAGTTTTAGTTTTTAGTTTTGTTTTAGTTTAGTTTAGTTTTTTTTTTTAGTTTTAGTTTTGTTTTAGTTTTAGTTTTAGTTTTAGTTTTAGTTTTGTTAGTTTTAGTTTTAGTTTAGTTTTTAGTTTTAGTTTTTAGTTTTAGTTTTTAGTTTTTTGTTTTAGTTTTAGTTTTAGTTTTAGTTTAGTTTTTAGTTTTTAGTTTTAGTTTTTAGTTTCTTTTTTTAGTTTTTAGTTTTAGTTTTTAGTTTTTGTTTTAGTTTTTAGTTTAGGTTTTAGTTTTAGTTTTAGTTTTTAGGTTTTAGTTTTTAGTTTTTAGTTTTTAGTTTTTAGTTTTAGTTTTTAGTTTTTAGTTTTTTAGTTTTAGTTTAGTTTTTTTAGTTTTTAGTTTTTAGTTTTAGTTTTAGTTTTAGTTTTAGTTTTAGTTTTAGTTTTAGTTTTTAGTTTTTTAGTTTTAGTTTTTAGTTTTTAGTTTAGGGTTTTAGTTTTTAGTTTTTAGTTTTTTAGTTTTAGTTTTAGTTTTTAGTTTTAGTTTTAGTTTTTTAGTTTTTAGTTTTTAGTTTTAGTTTTTAGTTTTTTAGGTTTTAGGTTTTAGTTTTTTAGTTTTTAGTTTTTAGTTTTTAGTTTTAGTTTTAGTTTTTAGTTTTTAGTTTTTAGTTTTAAGTTTTTAGTTTTTAGTTTTAGTTTAGTTTAGTTTTAGTTTTAGTTTTAGTTTTTTAGTTTTTAGTTTTAGTTTATTTTTTAGTTTTTAGTTTTATTAGAGAAATATGTTTATAAGAAAAAAATATGCAGTTGGGAGATATGTAAAAAGTAATGATAAGGTTAGTGATGACTAATGATAAACGTTTTTTTTAGCCTTTTTTTTACTAAATCACATCGACCAATATAGTTTATTTATATTTAACAATTTTTTGAATTACTTTTTTCTTTTTTCTTTTTTTTTTTTTTTTTAGCTGGGAGATATCTATAAGGAAAAGGCAATATACTAATAGTAAGAAAAGAAAAAAACAATGATAGTGACAATGATGACTAATGATTAACGTTATTTTCTATCCCTCATTTTGACTACATTCACATCCAACCAATATACTTTTAGCCTATTTGTTGATTCTGATTAAATACGGTATGACGAGAGAAAAAAAATCCCTATTGAAACAATTATTATACGAAATCAAATCCATGTGGGTACCGTATTCATTCTTATCCGAATCGCCAATTACATCCGAATCGCCAATTTCTTTCACATCCGAATCGCCAATTCTTTCACATCCGAATCGCCAATTCTTTCACATCCGAATCGCCAATCGAATCGCCAATTTCTTTCACATCCGAATCGCCAATTCCTTGAATCGCCAATTCTTTCACATTCGCGCCGAATCGCCATATTCTGAATTCCTCCAGGTTAGAGCGTCATTAGAGCCACCATAATGGAAATACAGAATGTCTTTAACGAAAGTTCCTCCACGCCAGCTCTATAATCATAACTATAATAGAGTCCCTTGATATAAAATTCCCCAGATTAGAGTCACAATCATGGAAAAACCTTCCTCCAATTAGAAGCCACTTGAGCCCCCACCCCACGGCCACCCCACCCCCACCCAGAGATTAGAGCCCCCATGGTGGAATTCGTAGACAGACGACCACCATGAACGACCGATGGAGCCAAATTCACCATGAAACGACCCGTTATGAACGACCGAGTGAGCCAAACAACCACCATGAACGACCGAGTGAGCCAAACAACCACCATGAACGGACCGAGCGAGCCAAACAACCACCCACGAACGACCGAGAGCTGGATGAACGACCGAGCGAGCCAGACACGACACGCAATGAACGAAGTGAGCAACAACACCATGAACGCCGAGTGAGCCAAACAACCACCGACGCTGAAACGACGAGCGAGCAAACAACCACCATGAACGACCGAGTGAGCCAAACAACCACCATGAACGACGAGCGAGCCCAGAACGACACCAGACACCATGAACGACCGAGCACCAACAACCACCATGAACGACCGAGTGAGCCAGACAACCACCATGAACAACCAAGCCCAATGAACACGAGCGAGCCAGACCAACCACCGATGAACGACCGAGGTGAGCCAAACAACCACCACTGAAAACGACCGAACGAGCCGAAGCACCACCATGAACGACCGAACGAGGCCCAAACAACCACCATGAACGACCGAGTGAGCCAAACAACCACCATGAACGACCGAGTGAGCCAGACAACCACCATGAACGACCGAGCGAGCCAAACAACCACCATGAACGACCGAGTGAGCCAAACAACCACCATGAACGACGAGCGAGCAAAACACATAAACGACCGAGCGAGCCAAACAACCACCATGAACGACCGAGCGAGCCAACAATCCGACCAAGAACACCGACCAAACAACCACCAATGAACGACCGAGCGAGCCAGACAACACCTATGAACGACCGAGCGAGCCAAACAACCACCATGAACGACCGAGCGAGCCAGACAACCACCATGAACGACCGAGCGAGCCAAACAACCACCATGAACGACCGAGGAGCAAACGAACCAGCAATGAACGACGAGCGATCGCCAAACAAACCACCATGAACGACCGAGCGAGCAAACAACACCATGAACGACCGAGTGAAAGCCAACAACCACCATGAACACGACGAGGGCGAGCCAAACACCACCATGAACGACCGGGGGAGCGAGCCAGACAACCACCATGAACGACCGAGCGAGCCAGACAACGAACGACCGAGCGAGCAGTGTGTTATTCGTCACATCTCAACGAACTAACGGACTGTGTCGCGCCAACAAAAAACGGGAAGGGGTTACTGTGTTAGAAAAACGGAAGGGGTGACTTACACATTCTCGCGGCACGGCAAGGCGGCGGGAAGGCTGGCTTTGAGATTGGGAAGATAGCAAGAAATAGAG